CGGCAGAGGCTGGTAAGCGGGCACATTGCGAATTTCTTGCCCGCTTCTGGATTACGCGTGCTGTGGGGGCCTCCCGGCTGTGCACAGGGTTGCTGTTGGGCATGTCATGCATGGCACAATTGATTGGGTAGTAAAATAAAACAGAAAACAGACGACAGCAGCTCTTCGGAAGAGTAGTTACACTTGGAATAGTTTTGAGTTGTTCAGGGCCTTTCGCAGCTGCAGTGCCTTGAACTCAGTTACTATTTTCATTATTGCCGTTATTGTTTTCTAATGCTTTATTGCTGCAAGTGTTCCAGGATTCTCATTTATTCCTCTATCGAGGGTGTTAAATCGGTGGATAAGGTATGACTCTCGTTGTTCACGTTCTCAATTTGATTAAATCGCGTCTCTAAGAGCGTTACTGATAGTTTGTCGAATGCCAGGTCGGGAAGATTGAGATGTTTTGATAGAGGTAGACTTGGGGCTGATTTCGCATGGGCTCTGTGATTATTGAAGCGAATCCTAAATGGTCTTTCTGTTTTTCCGATGTACTGCATACCACACACGTTGCATTCGAGTAGGTATACCATATTAGAGGAATCGCATGTTAGGTTTCCTCGTATCTTAATCAAAAACTTGGATTGTGTGCTGGTTGCTTTGTGTGTTTCTCGCATCACCTTACATACAAGACATCGTGGCTTTAAACAAGGTCGACATGAATTATTGGGGGGTGATGTGTTAATTTGAGAGTGGACAAGTGTGTCTTTGAAGTTACGTGGTGGTCGGTAAACCATGCCTAGAGCGGATAGAAATGCGCGTTTCAGACGTTCACTTTGTTCCAGAATGTTGTAATGTCGTTTAAGGATTTCGTTTACATTGTGGAAGTTTGCGCTGTAAGTCAAGCAGAGGTTTGTTCGTTGTGGGTCTTCTTGCAGTGATCGCTTCATAAGTAAGTCTTCACGCTTTGGTTTTCTCGCTTTTGAACAGCCTCATTATTTACACGTGGAGGGTATTTTTGTTTCTCGAGCACAAGTTTTAGCCTCTGTGAGCTCGTGTCAAAGTCAGCGTCTCTAGAGCAGATTCGCTTAAACCGGTGAGCCTGGCTGTATGGAATACTGTTTTTACAGTGGCGTGGGTGATCGCTTTGGTAATGGAGGTATGGTTGTCGATCCGTTGGTTTGCGATATAGGGTTGTAGAGAGCTTCTATTCTTCTATCGTAATGGTAACATCCAGACAATTTACGGTAACTTGCGAGTATGTGTGTGTGAAGTGTATTTTCGGATGTACAGCATTGTAAGTGTCGATAAAGCTGAGAAGTTCGTCCTCGCTGTGGGTCCAAATAAGAAAGATGTCGTCTATGTATCTTCTGTATAACATTGGTTTCAAGGAACTTTGTGCAAAAATTCAGACTCTAGCTTTCCCATAAATATGTTGGCATAATTAGGTGCTATTTTGGTGCCCATAGCGGTCCCGCGTATTTGTCGAAAATACTCTTGGTTAAACTCGAATGAATTTAATTCGATGACCATCCTCGTCAAAGTTGCGATGGCAGACAAATGGGGTGTTAGATTGTCTATGGTTTGTGTAAATGTTTTGTAATGCAGCTATGCCGTGATTGTGAGGAATATTTGTATACAATGAAGAGACATCAAGAGTATTCAAGTACGAGTTTTTCGGCACACAAAGACCTGCAATGTCTCGAAGAAAATGTGTGGTGTCTTTTATGTACGACGCGAGGGTGCATGGAATGTGGCTGATTAGTTTGTCCACGTACCCTGATATGGGTTCAGTTATTGTACTGATGCTTGATAAGATTGGTCGACCTGGGTTACCGGGTTTATAAATTTTTGGAGGATGTAGAAGCGACCTGGACGAGGGTATGCTGCTCGTATCAGTTTGTGGTCAGTTTTGGTTATCTTTTCTGCATCCAACAGTTTCTTTAGTTCTGTTGATACGATACGTTTGTATTCGTCTGTCGGATTACCTGAGAGGCGTTCGTAAACTCTTGAGTCGTGTAGTTGGCGGTATGCTTCTTGTAAGTAGTTGTTTGTATTAAGGACTACAATTTCTCCTCCTTTGTCAGCGGGTTTTATTGTTATGTCTGTCCTAGATGCCAAATTTCTGATACTTATTTTTTCAGATTTTGTCAAGTTTTCTTGGTTTGCTTTCTGTCTGTAATATTCGTGTATATATCTTTCTGTACTGCGGTGATTAAAAGGTCCAAGCACTTGTTTCGATTACTGTTCGGTGTCTAATCATTTAATTTACGACGGTGAATTGTTTCGTGGTTAGAAGGCCTGTCCAAGAAATATTCGCGCAACCTTAAGCTTCGAGCGAAGTTGTTGAGGTCTCGGAGCAAGTGGAATTCATCGAAAAATTTTGTGGTCGGGCAGAAGCTTAGTCCCTTAGATAGCAGTTTTTCTTCGTCAGGTGACAAGCTCGTGTCTGATAAGTTTACAACCACAGTGTCACAGGGTGTGTTCCTAGATGGGTGCTCGCTTGTACCATTAGTGGTTTCCTGGGTGGTGGTATTGTAGTGATAAGGAACTATATCAGGGAACGCTGGTTTGGGCACATGGTCTCTTTTGAGTTTATGAATTTTTGTGGTCATGATGGCTTCGTATTTATTCTGTTCAAATTCTGTTAATCGGGTGATTTCTTCGTTCGATAAAGTGTTGTGGCGGAGAATGGTGTTGGTCATAGCGACCAGTTTCTTTACCTGTTCATCACTGTGAATAAGAGCGATTTCTGTTAATTTAAGAGATGCCTCAAGGAGGACACTTTTCCATATTATTTTGTCGTGTTCATCTAGATTTGTAGCGGCTGGTGTGAGGGAGAGTGTCATACCCTTGGGGGCTATTCTAGCACGAAGGTACACTTGCAATGTTGATTTATGCATTTCATGTCTAATTCGTTTGTCAGCAAGTTTTCTTACTTTAAGGAAAGTGGCACTGCAACTTGGAAGCGATGAGCTGGACTTACATTTCAGAAGTCAATCTTCTTTAGGGTGCAGGATGACACTGATGTAGTGCGCAGGTTGTACTTATCTCCGGCAGGCCTTCGTCGTTGTAGGGAGGATTTCGGCGTTGGGCTTCCGGCGAACGTGTTCGTAGGCAGTTCCGGGGTCCGCAATAGGGGGATGCGGTTTCGTAGTTCGGCAGGCTTCCCTTTGAGGAGTGGTGTAGTGGTGCTGTCGTGTAGTGCTTTTGGTCTCGACATCCGATATGGAGGGACGCGTGTTGGTTGTTCAGCAGACTTACCCCTAGTAGTGGTGCGCTGTTGATGATGGTGAGGGGGTGCTTGTGGCTCGCGGGAGTCACAGTTTCGCCGATCGTCGGGAACTCATCTGTGATGTTGGGTGGGTGTGGCTCCTGGTGTGGGGCTCCTGGTGTATGTTGATATGCAGAGTTCTTGTCCTGGGTGTCTTGTTGTGTTGAATGGATATTGACGGGAGCTGCTGGTTGAGTCGACCACCCCGTGGTAGCTTCGAAGTCTCCGCGACAGAGTGCACTGTTGAGGGTTTCGGCGATCAAAGCGACACCCATATAACTCGGAAAGCCCATCCGCAGCAAGAAAGCTTCTTGGTGGCAACTGCTCGAATTGGTAAGAGATGTATGACACCTTGTTGGGTCTTCGGCAGTAGGCCTTGACTGTCTCGTTGAATTGACGAGCGACCTGGTTGAAGCGGTGCACGAATTGTTCGTTCGATCGTTTCAGGTGTAGGTTGATGTAACGGGGCAGCACGCATGAAACAACGAGCCTTTCGAGTTCCTGGCGTGTCCGAAGCGTGCTGTTCACTAGGCGGCGAAGGCGGCATAGCGATTCCTCTAGTCCGTATGACGCCAGCTCGCTCGTACCGACGTGAAAAGCGAGCGTGGTCACAGATCGTGGTATGCCGGCAAGCTCTTTCTCGATGTTGAATGTGGACGCTCCGCGGATTGAAATGATCGCAGGTGTCGTCTTCTCATGCGGGTTTAATGGTGATGTAAATACCTTGTTTGCGAGTTTCCGATGATGGCTGATGTTGGTGCATGTTTAGGGAACTTCCGTGAGACCTGCTCGACTGGAGGTTCGCCTGTGGCCGGTCTTGTTTAGGCAGGCATGGTGGTTGAGTGGCCGTAGCGTTGCATATAGTCTAGTAGATCCTCCGTGAGCGGTCACAATGTGGTTTATTTCGACGTTTCGGCCTACAGCCTGGCCTTCATCAGGATTAAAGGTACAGTTTGTTGGTGCTCAGCTTGATACAATCTCAATTCAGAGGGAAAGGAAAGAGGAAAAAGAAAGAAAAAAAGGAAAAAAAGAAAAAAAGAAGAGAAAAGAAAAAAAAGAGAAAAAAAGAATATAAGGTGGACTCCCCTCGAGCACCCCCCTTCCACTCTTCCTTCTACTTCCACCCTCATCTCTCTCCCCTTTCTAATGTCAGTGGTCTTTGTATGCTTCCTTTCACTATATATATATATATATATATATATATATATATATATATATATATATATATATATATATATAATTATATATATATATATATACATGTGTGTATATATATAATTATATATATATATATATATATATACACACATGTATATATATATATATATATATAAATTTAAATATATATATATATATATATATATATATATATATATATATATAGGATGGCCAACAGAAAACTAATGCTTCCTCTTTGTTACAGAGCATGGCACTGAATTTATCATTATAAATCTCAACTTCTTAATCAGTGCTTTAGAACCGAGATTGTGTTATAAAAATTATCGCCTAGTGTGAATGATACCGAACAAATTTTGGCTCAATTTAGTTATAAGTGGCAATACAAGACAAGCATCATAGGCCACTATGATACTTCTGTTCTAATGCTCCTAAAGTAAAGCAGCTAACTTCTTAGCTTGATTGCTTACTGCGTCAAATATTCTGTTTTTACTCTGGTCATAAACTACGTCTTTTAAAAAATATGTTGCTGTCAGAATCAAATAATTACGAGACTCCCTTTTTCTTTCAGTATAACAATAACAAGTCAGCGGCAGGTATGTAATGTCTATGAAAATTACATTCAGTCGATACACTTTATTGTGAAGTATTCATTTTTATTATCTGCAGAATTGAGTTCTGAGCTATTGAAGAACGTTTCTCTATATGTCGTGTTAGCAGACAGCCATTCACAGCATCACTAAATCTAGGCACTTGTATGGACTCCAAGGTGCTTGTTCTCGGCCCAAAGATTTCCATTACCTCATATGAACAGAATATGTTTATCGGAGCAGCAGCTGCGAAATGCTGCCTCCAAGCACATCACGTAGGTTCATCTGGAACGGGTTCAAGAAGGGTGGCCATGAAAAAAGAATCCATAGCGATAATAACGTGTACTCTGAAATAAGCCTATAGAAACTTAGTGCGTGGAGGCGTGATTAACTCGGACAACTTCATACAACTAGCGGGCCTCTCAACGCCATGAAGTTTACTAATGTGCAAAAAAGTACCGACTGTGCTGTAGCGTGCAAGTAGAATAAACGAGTTTGAATAAGTCTGCCTACTACAGATCAATAGCACGTATGATTTCTCCACAAGACATTTGAAAAGCCTTCACACACTCATGCATCATATATATATATATATATATATATATATATATATATATATATATGACATTTGAAAAGCCTTCACACACTCATGCATCATATATATATATATATATATATATATATATATATATATATATATATATATATATATATATATATATATGCATCGCGCTTTGCCACTTGTCAGTTGATCGACGACCAACGCTCTCTTCGCTGCTATCAGTGCACGCGTATTGATGTCACTTTAACTTCAGTTTCCTGGCCACAAGTTCGGCCAAATTATTAGATTCATCTGAACATCGAGTGTTCCTCCTTTCGTCCATGCGATGACTCCGTGACGTCTGGTGGATATGCTTACCGACCCATGTACTGAATGCTCCCCTCAGCCTTGGGCGGAGCCCACACCACCCAGGGGACATCAACGCCAACGCTGAGCAGCGAGCCAGCCGCCGACAAAAAGACTACCTCCGGGGTACGGGCCTCTATCCGATTCAACAGAGAAGACTAAAACCATCAACTTGACCACTGAAACGATGGCAGCCTTTGTGCCACCTGTACCCATCCTTATCCGGCAACCCAAGGAGCATCCAACTTTCTTCGGATCATCGTTTGAAGACTGTTCAGCCGGGCTAGAGACTTCAACAGAGTCACCGCCTCGAAAAACAGCGCCACGTCTGCTTTTACCTAGAAGATGCCGCGAAGACGCTGTATGGTAACCGGGAACCCACGCTACGAACCTGGGATCTCTTTCGAAAGACGTTCCTTAGCACCTTCAAGAGCATCGTTCACACGGAACGTGCCAGAACTGACTTGCAGGCACGTGTGCGATTTCCCAACGAAAGCGGGAACATCGTCGAAGAGATGGCACAGTTGTTCTGCCACGTCGACCCCATCAAGACCGAGAAGAAAGTGAACTTCCTTATTAGGGGTGTGAAAGAAGAACACTTCACCGGACAGATGAGGAACCCACTGAAGACTGTCGCTTAATTTATTTCGGAATCATCTAAAATTGAGAACACGTTTGAGATGAGGACACGGCGATACAATCTCAGCTTTTAGGCTGCAAGCCACGCCGACATCCAAGAGCTGGTAACCACCGACCACCGACCTGCGTGAGACAATCCGAGCGATAGTGCAAGAGGAGCTGCAATCATGGCTACCTTCAGCGCAGCCCTTAGTGCACCCCATCGCGTACTTTGTATTCCAGAACATCCAACAATCATATGGCGTTCCTCAGCTTCCACAGACGCCGGTGCAACGCATGAGCTATCTGCAACAGCCCGCCATCAGACGCCTCCTCCATGACCACGCCAAGAAGCCGCTTCGCCGCAACTTCGCTTCATGACAACACTGCTACACCCACCATCGTCATACCGCCCGCCAGCCGGCCAGCGATACACGGCGTAGAAGGCCGACGTTTCGCACGCTCTTGACCATCGCCCACAATGCTACTACTATGGGGAAGCTGCCAATACCGATAAATGGGCCTACAAGGTTTTGACGTGAACGTGTCGTGTTCACAGTGGCGTGAATGACCTCAAGATGTCGCCGAATACCTCACAGGAGCGCAGTGGACTTTCGAAGACCTCAACCTTCGACTTGGCCAGGCGGCTACATGTCTCCGCAACACTACGAGTACACCGGTTCCACATAGGGTCATTCCCCGAGCCCATACTCAGAAAATTAAGGGCAGCAACCGATGCATGTGCTGTTCCTGTACGACGAACTGCCAAGGACATTCCACCGCCGATGATGACGCCTGAACGAAACTTCAAGAACCCGCCGTCACCTCAACGTTGTCCCGACGTTAAAACTTTGCGGCCAGAAGGTCTGATGATGCAACGTCGAAACAGCGGTACGAACCGTCGTAGCCGTGATTCGACGCAAACTCCCCGACCGCAACACCAGGCTACGAGCTTGCAAACTCGACAATCTAATCAACGGTCACACTGTCACCGATCTCGTCGACACTGGCGCTGACTATTCCGTCATGAGTGGGCCATTTGTTCCCAAGCTTCAAAAAGTAAGGACTGCTTTGAATGGACCCATCATCTTGACTGCTAGAGGCCACCTGATAACGGTGGTTGGAGTTTGCACAGCCGTAGTTGAAATCAACAACAGGGCGTAACCGCGAGCTTATTCTCCGACAACAGTGCTCTAGGCACGCGATGCTTGGGACGGTCTTCATAAGTAACCATGGCGCCATCAGCGACCCAAGCTCCGAATCAATAAGACTAACTAACCTGAGAAGAGAAGCATCCGCCCTACACGACCGCGGATAATCACTCATTGAATAAAATACAAGAGCCAGTAATTGTGCCGCGTTTATCTAGCATCATCACTTCCGTCGGCACCTAAAAAGCCGGAAATCGTGAAGGCGTCATCCAGGGCGATCAGCACCTGCTCTTAAACTGTCAAATTAGCATGGCATGAGACCTAGCCAAGCTGTGCGATTTCAAAAGAAAGGTAGTGCTGACAAACTTCAGCCACGAAGATAGGCACTTCAACGTTGACTGGATGGTCGCCTACTTCGACGAATTTGTGGATGCAAGCAATGCTTTCGCTCTTTTCGATGCCGAAGCGCGAGCAAGACAAGCTGAAGACCATGCTCCTGCAAGTCAAAAACAACTTTTCGTCATTATCAAAAACTCAACAAACCCCAGTCGCGAAACGCCCCGCCGCGGTGTTCTAGTGGATAAGGTACTCGGCTGCTGAACCGCAGGTCGCGGGTTCAAATCCCGGCTGCAGCGGCTGCATTTCCGATGGAGGCGGAAATGTTGTAGTCCCGTGTGCTCAGATTTGGGTGCACGTTAAAGAGCCCCAGGTGGTCGAAATTTCCGGAGCCCTCCACTACGGTGTCTCTCATTATCAAATGGTGGTTTTGGTACGTTAAAACTCCACATATCAATCAATCAATCAATTCAGTCGCAAAAGATCGCATGATAACAGACGAAAGTGCGCAATCACTTCTAGAGAGCCATCACCGAATTTCGACGCTGCGAACGCGTGGACGTGACAAAACAACTCGACGAAATGCTATGCGACGACATCAATCAGCCGTCCCAGACTCCTTGGGCGTCATTTGTGCTATTAGTAAAGAAGAAGAACTGAACCCCCCGTTTTTGCATCGAATACCGTCACCTAAAGAATATCACTGAGAAGGATTAAGTGACGCCTTGGATCTACTCCACTGCACAAACTACTTTCCGTCGATGGACCTCAAGATCGGCGATTGGCAAAGCAAGATTGACGAGAGTATTTGAGAGACACCAGATGGTCTCTTCGAATTCAAGGTCATGGCATTCGATCTTTGCACGGCGCTTGCAACGTTCCAGCGTGATAGGGACACCGCGCTGAACTTTATTGAAATGACACACTTGTCTCGTGCACTTGGATGACATTTTCGTATTTTTTTTAGCTTCAACGAGCCTCTCGAGAGCCTTGAACAGTACTTCAAGCCATAGCGTTTACTAATATACACTACAGAGAACTCTGGCGCTAGTGTCTATGGGAGCTGCAACGCACGGCGCTTCAGCGAGCATGGGAATGATGGGTAGTACACACTTTGTCTAATCTTCGTACTTCTGGCCTGCTTTTGGCTCCACGTGTGTTCGTGTGGCTTGGAGCTGTTTTCTTACGAAACAAATATTGACAAATGTGTAGCGGTTGTGCCTCACCATATTATTCTTTTGCACTAACCTTTCCAAATCGAGTCACGAAGGTAATAAAAGGGTTGAATTTTATTAAACAAAACCGAAACACCGCAATAAACGAAGCCGCAAGTATGATTCCCCGCCCACAAGTACCAAGACTGGGGCGAATGTGTGTACTACTCATCATTCCCAAGGTAGCTGAGAAATCGCAGCGTCAGAGTCCCCTCTAGTTAATTTTAGGCAACGCTATGCTCCAAGCTATCAACACCTCGGAACTCACACTAAAGACTTAAAGGTGCCGCTGCGTGTACGAGGAGGTTGCTTTCCGGGACACGTTATTAGCAATCCCGACCCACGTAACACAGCCGTCATCGCTGATTTCCTGACGACCACCGGTAAAAGGGAAATACACCGATTTCTTGGACTCGCTGCCTATTACAGGCGCTATGTCAAGCGAATATCACAAATTGCTGAGTTGCTAACTCATCGCACAAAAACCGACATAAATTCATGTGGGTAAACACAAAAGCGGAAGCGTTCCAGAAACCTAATTGACGCCTGCAAATACCACCGATACTGGCGCATTTTGATGGATACGCCGAAACAGAAGTACACGGAGACGCAAGCAACGTGGGAGTCGGCGCCGTCCTTGTGAGAAGGACCGATGACCGGGAAATGGTTATCAGTCACGCTCGTTTGTCGCTATCTTAGGCTGGTGCCAATTCTCCCACAAAAGAAGAGAAGTGCTTTGTCATAATCTCAGCAGCGTCAAAGTTTGATTGATATGCTGCG